TAAAAAAGATAAGAATAGGTTGCATCACATAGTCTGGGTTACAGAAAAGATCATCAGTGTTAACCTGCCCAACCTCCAGGACCTGTACTCATCCAGAGTCAGGAAATGGGCAGGGAAGATCATCACAGATCCCTCTAGGTCACAACTTCTTTGAACTTTATGTCATACAAAACAAACAGGCAGAAGAACAGGTTCTTCCCACAATCCGTCACCCACATGAACAGCTGACCCATTTGCCTCTGCTAAGTTATGTTGTTGCCCCCCTTAACAGGCAATGTCTCGTTGCAAATAACTCACTGTACTTACTGTATTGTTTTGTATATATTGTATTCATTGTGGCATGCATTCCTGCACTTTTAATTCATTAATCAATAAGATATCCACATTGTATACGTCAACCGAATTGCACCTGACAGTTGTTTTGTCTTCTGGCAACTGTGTATGTATCTGCTGTATGTATGAGCTCCATTGGCAACCAGAGACCATTTCCCTGCACATGTAAACAAAGTGACCAAATAAACCAGATTCTGAAGCTGCATACACAGGGGGTATTATTTTGTTCTTTCGAGGTCGTCCATGTTCGTTTCCCTAAGGCTGGGCCTTCCGCCTCTATTCCCAGCACACATTTCCTTGTTTTGCCTATTGCTGGAAATGTTTCGGGATAGTTGAAATGATTGTTTTGAAACAGCGCTCTCAACAACAGCAAATAGCAACAGAAGCCATCGGCACATACGAAGAATATACAGTCGATACATACAGCATTTCTGCACCAAGACTTTCCCCTTCGCAGTTTCGATACATTTTTGGGATTTTCGCAAAAGCCACAGATGACGCACAAAAAGTTTAGCAATTCATAAATGCATACAATATATGTACAGTGCTGCTTGGGAGGACGTCAAGCATGTTTACTGCAGCCTCTCACGTGATAGAATAGAATAGAACAGAATCCCGCAGTCATCTTGCAGTGATATTTTTGTCTCACGTTTCTCTTATCTATTTTGTGCTGTTTTAGTGCCCTAAACTGTACTAAAATCCAAAATGCTTCACTTTGCTCCGCTTACATGCTCAAGGGGACCAAAAAATTGTATGTTTTTTTCCAGGATTGTAGCACTAATATGCATATGCATATACAAATGCAAAATGCATTTGAAGAATAATAATACTATACTCTCAGGTGGCATCTGTCAGTATGATCATGTAACATCACTAGTTATTTCCACTGTAATTGGTTGGCTTCCCACTGGTTTTCCACTGTAATAGGTTATTTTTTTATATTATCTTTTGCCCATAGTTTTCCAGAATGGTTATTACCATTGTCTGACACCACTGTCTTGACCCTGTTCTGGGCTTTTGGTTTCTCTGATTGGTTTTATCCAACCAGCCCATTTGCAACCACAGCTGTTACCAATCCTGACCCTATGTTTAGATAAATGTTGGCCGAGAGTTGGGCCAGGGATGTGGCACTCTTCTGTTTGCTTAGGGAGGGAATGTCCTCCTTTATCTGAATAATGTGTTTAGTTAAATATTGTAATGTTCATATTAAATATTAAAGATTTGGTGAAAATTTGGCAGCGAATCTTATTTAAATTGAGCATTTGTGATGCTGATGTTGCGCTGTACATTTATGCAGGTGCGGAGTGGCCTTTGGGAAGTTGGGAAATTCTCCTGGTGGGTCGGTGTTGTGCAAGCCGGTCTTTCTTCCCCAACCTCAGCATCACGTAGCCTATATACCAGAGGTACCCAACCAGTCAAAGCCAGTGGCAGATTTCTGGGCTGCTTTTGCTTGCGACTCCACTCCTACATTTATTCATCTCGTGATGACAAAACAAGGGGAAAACAACTAAGGACTGAGGGTATAGTTGTGAGTAAAAACTTTACTAGATAAAAACTGGAACAAAACTCCTTGAAAGAACACAAACCCGGGGGAAAAAAAAAGCTCAAAAGATTTTTACAAAGCAAACATTTTTAGCTAAGTCGACACCAGAATAAACAATGTCCTTTCCATAGCTAGCAGACTAAAGGCTGAGAAAAAGTTACTGATCAGCTCAAATAGCAATCCCTTTGAGGCACAGATGGTTCTTGTCTTACAATTAATCTACCACTGGAATACATTGGTATCACTTCCTGGGATTCTGGGATGAAAGCTCAGGGTCTCTGGGTCGTTAGCGCCACCTGCTGTCTGTGACTGGTGTGACAATTTGTGCTGTTATTAGCTGTTATATTCTTCAAGTACTTCAATAGACTGTCAACGTTCTATTTTCCTCTTTCCATCCACCTTTTCCTTCCAAAATAATTAAATGCCTTTTCGTAGTTTACTGATAAACTGTTGCTGTTGAAATTGTGGTTATGGGGTTATTCACACAATATAATTTAAAGAAATGTCTGTTTTTCTTTTTTCTGTGTAAAAACAGAACCCACAATGAGCACTAGCTGCTGTTCACCTTTATTTTCACTAGTCAGTGCTAGGATGTTCATGTGCATGTATCTTATTCACATTTTCTGCCGATGTCTTTCAAGGTTATAGTGCCAACAACTAACAGTTAACTAGGTGGGATTGTCGCAGGAAGCTGTGCAGGAGATTAGGAGGCATAGGGGCGGTGACCTTACAGATGACAGCGATAGGGTGAGTAAGACTCCAGGCAGATTAAGGACGGACATGCACACACCCTTCAGGTTGGCTCCTGTGACATCACATGACTCATCTGGGTGTGCTAAGTCATTTTTCAGTCTGTGTACTGCTTACAGTCCTGTAGATCCTCTCAAAAGGCTCAGTCACTTCTTGATATCTTACATTCGAAAAATGCATTTAATCATAGCACAGTTACGGATTTCAGTAGCCTGTTGGTGTATTTCAATATCTACCTAATTAAATTATTATTATTAACCACTGGAGCAATTTGTTTACTAGCAGCAAGGAATGTCTTAAGGTATCAAGACCAGGTTTATAAATACAAGTGCCGGGGTAGTGTGGATGTCTTGGGGGAGGTGTGGTCAGGGAACAAGTTCCTCTACTTTACTCAAATCATGTCTATTGTTCTAATACGTATGTTTGTACTATAAAGTATCTAGTGTATAATATGATTCAGTTCTTCTAATTCATAATTCACAGGTTTTGCCCTTGACATCAACTGTAGAATAGTTGTTGTTCCAAGAATGTTATCACCCACATACATGAAAATTAACTTTGAAAGCTGCTGTCTGGGGAAGATGAAAAACAGGAAATTAAATCTTAATACACAAGTATTCAGACTCCTTGTTATGGCATTTAAAATTTAGCCCAGCTGTATCCTCTTCCAATTGCACATCCTTGAGATGTTTCTACAGCTTTTTTGAGTTCACCTATGGTTAGGAAGAGTCTTGGTTGTTCCAAAGTCCAAACTTCTTCCAGGTAAAAATTATGGAGGCCACAGTGCGCTTGGGAACCTTCAATGCTGCTGATCTTCCTCAGTAGCCTTCCTCAGATGTGTACCTCAACACAATCTTGTTCCTGTGCTCTGCAGGCAATTCCCTCAACATCATGGCTTGGTTCTTCAGCAGGTACAGTGACTGACAGATTATCATTTGACCTTCAGGTTCCTGCTTACTCTTATAGTGAAAGTTGCGTAACTTGAAAGGTGAAACTGACCACATTCATTGGTTGGTGTGACACATGCTTCCTGGGCCAATGAGTATGTGGGTAACAAAATTTATTGTCCAGGGTACATTTTTAATCCCAATCCAGATCATCTTGTTTTTCTCATAACTCATTACGAATAATCCCCATAACCATTGGGATTAAGCCTGCCAGATTCCTTGGGCCATCATTAGGTATATCAGTTCAAAAGCCCCCCGGAGATTTTTGTAATGAAGACTTTCTCCCTTTGGACCTGTCAGCATTTTGGAACAACATGAAACTACAGCACAGGAGAGGCCTACCTGTCAGTGTGTGATGAAGATTTCTGAAGAGAAAATAGCAGCTTATACCATGGAGTCAAAAAACAGTCACAACCCACGGCCATTTTGACTTCAAAGTAATATTTGACCTCCCGGGCATTGTTCGCTTGCAAAACTGCACAAGTCACTCCTTGTTATTGCCTTCAATTATTTACTAGGGATCAGTCTCTTCAAATCCAGCATTTTGGATGTTAATTTTTCAGCTTGTTTTTTGGACCTCCTTAACCCATTACAGAACACAGCAAGGCCGGATCTAGCTGTATGCAGAATGGGCAGCTGCCGAGTCCCTGTGAACTTCCTGCACTGCGAAAGAAGTGAAATGAACATCAGTTTTCTTGGTAGGGGGCCTCCTAAGTAAGGCTTTGCCTCGGGCCCCGAAAAAGGTGGAGTCTCGGCCCTGCTGCTCCTGAAGCTCCAAACATGCTTATTTTTTGTCTACTTTCAGGTGTTGCTGTAGTCTAGTTTGAAGAAGCTGGCATGTTGTGAGGATTCATAGTTTCCAAATTGTGTAATTCAATAGAGCTATTGGACACCAGTTTTCTTCTTGAGCTATACACATTATGAAAAATTCCAATCAACCAATGCCCCAACCCACACAGGCCAATTAGCTATAAATATTATAAACAGCTGCTACTTCTAGGTGGAGTAGTGGATCTGAGGCTGGGATCTGTACTACTAATAAGAAGGTTGTTGGTTTCAGTCTTGTGAATTCCAGTACTGATTCTACTCCATTGTGCACCCTTGAGCAAGGCCCTTAACCTGTAATTGCTTAATCCTGGCTATGTTGTTAACCTACATCCAGCCCTGCAAGCAGGTCCTCCTACATACAGGGAGAAATTTGGGGGTTGCTGGTAGGATTAGCACTTAAGCCAGTGGAAGAAACTTCACACGGTTCCATTTCATCCAAATAAATGTAGTGCTGAGGTAACAGCTGCACTCAGATTCTCATCCCTGAAGGGGTTTGTTGTGTGGGGACAATGTGCTATGTCAGTGCATGCTCCTCCTTACCCATCATTAAACCACAAATTACAAAAGATGCTTTCTGAAAAATGGACACCAGACTTTCACACTGACATGGGTATAATATCGTGGACCATTTTCAAAGCTATCCATCCATCCAGCTCCTTACCGCAGACAAGTGCTTTTTAAGAGATGAATTCAAGTTTAAATCAAACTGACCATGTCAAATGGCACACTGGAGAACCAAACCTATGCTAAACATCAAACATTACAGGAATATTATACAGGCTTAACCCAGTCGGTGTTAACAGAAAATTAATTACATTTCAGGATACCACTAACAATCGTGAGGATTATACGATAGAGATCAGTTCTTTTATAAGGTCAAAAGCTGTCGCATATATTTAACCAAAATGCCACTTATATTATGGTAGAATTTTGCATTAAGACATCTCTAACACAAGGTCACAGTATATTTATGACATAAGGTCAATATTCTACAGAGCAGCATTTTACGCATGATCAGAACTGCTCATGATCAGAACTCGCTCACCCAACAGCCTTTTTACAGACCGTTTTACACTTTAACCCAAACGACTTCATGACTGGTTGAACTTTATTAGCATTTCTTAAATGCAACGGTTTATTACAGACAGGTTAAGGTAAACCAGGCTGAATAACGTAGGATTGGGTGACAGCACAGATGGAAGGCTAGCAAAGGATGCGATTCATTCCTGATTTTAATGCAGCATCAATACCAAAAAATCATTTAACGGTAACACATTAAATGACAAATAGAAAACAGCTGTTTCACATGACCCCGTCCAACACTAATTTGATTGCAGAATGTTCTTCAGTTCGCTTCGTCCTTTGAAGCCTCGTCAAAATTGCCAACAAGGTCTGAACGGGAAAAGCAGGCAAAGTGTCACTTTTAAGCCTAAAATTCAGCATTAACACCAAAAGATAAATACACTCTCCAGTCATACAGGCCGTGTCAGAAACAGCCCATAAGAGGGGACTGTCCAGCACCCCTCACATGCAGTTCCGCTCTGTACAATTTCTGACACAGCAGCACACATTTCTGAAACTACACATCACCTGGAACTTCATCGTCATCTTCCTCGGCAGCAGCAACCGGTGCTTTCCCGTCTCCAGCTGTTAGGGAAAAATACCAGTCAGGGATGCTTTTCGAGTAAGTCACCTGACCAAACAGACCAAAAAGGTAAAGTGACCGGTCAGAGCAGGGACTTAGGGGAGAGATCGGGTCAATCATTTTTATGACCACCTATGATTCCCCAGAAGCTTCCTGACAGCTTGGAGAACAGTGGAGAAATCAGAAGATGGCCCAGAAATGTGGGACATCATTAATATCAGAGTGCACTAAACATTGGACCTATGATACTCTTATGGAGGTGCATAGATTTACTGAAAGTCTACATACAAAAGTACTATGAGGTGCAGAATCTCATTATATTTATTTAGCATTATGTCTCTCAAACCAGCCCGTGGGGACCCCCCCCCCCAGACGGTCCATGTTCTTGCTCCCTCCCAACTCTCAGGGAACTGGGAGAGAGCAAACACACAGACCGCCTGGGGGTTCCCACTGATTTAGAAGACACTTCTATCCAAAGTCATACATTTTTGAGAGAATGAAGGGTCAAACCACCCCTGGAGCAATTGATAGTTAAGGGCCTTGTTCAATAGACCAATGGGATCTGGGAATCTGGGATTTTAACTGGAGCTGTTTCAGTCACAGAAACAGCATCCAAACCCACTGAGCTGGGATAAACACTGTCAACAGCATTAAACCACACACATACACAGACCACTAATTTAGCTGAGGGAGCTGGGCTTTAGCTGCAGTTTAATCACGAGACGATGAGATGTGCTGTCAATACATATAGAAGAGGCAGACAGTGCTGACCTCTCCTTCAGACAATGGCAGAGATGCTCTGTCCCATTTGCATAGCCAGTCATTCGTGGGAAACAGGAATGACTGGTACTAAAATGGGACCCCCCCCCCCTTTCAGAATCGAACCCGGTATCAGTACAGTTACATTTTTGGGTTCAGACCAGAGCATGTGAACGGAGTGGAGCGGAGCGTGAGCGAGGAGCGGAGTGGGCGAAATTTGGTCAGAGCGCGGAGCGGTTTTTTAATTAATTAGAATTAGCGCGGAGGAGCGGGCGGAGCCAACAGCCTCATGAGCGAGGAGCGGAAATTCTCACCGCTCCACTCTGCTCACATGCTCTGGTTCAGACCCCATTACAGTAACCAGCAATCATCCAACCAATTCAAAGAGGGTGAAAAAGGCGAGCCTAACCTGCCAGCCATTCCTCACCCTGCTTGGGCAGGGATTCGGCCAATCGACGGAGGCTGCTCAGGCTGTCCGCGCCCAGCTGGTTCAGAATGCTAGGCAGCATCTCTGTCAGCTGCTTGGTCTCCGCATGGCCCGTGATGGTGAAGGTGTTGGCCGCCAGCGAGGCCTGTACTTTGGGGTTGTTGAAGTGGATCACTGTGCCCTGGTTTGTGAACATATTCACCTGCAGAGCAAAAGCACACCGCCAGTTACTGAACTGTCACATCACAATCAGCGGCACCGGAGAGACAATTCGAAGTATTATTGCAGCAGTTTCATGCTCAAAACAGAGACAGGAATTAAACTGTACTTCACTGGCCTGTATTCTACCAGCTTTCACGCTATACCTCTGGGTGGCACGCACACTGCAACGATAAACTCATTTTACATTTTCAATCTCTTTTTTCTTTAACTTTCAAATAAGAAAGGCAGATATCAGCTGTGCCCAAATTCAGGGGCTGCACCCTTCTAAAGCTGCAGGCGAACAATCACAGCGGTATGATAAAGCTGTCCCGTTTTGAAGTCTCCTTCAAATGCATCCTAGAGATGCGTTTTCCTTTCGCAGAGTTGCAAAGGATCCACCTGATGGATCTTTCGCAGCCCAACATATCCCAAGATTCATTGCGCAGAGGTAAAGTGGGCGTGTCCTGGCCACGCAATAGGAGCAGCACTTCATGACTCAAGGGTAAGAGCGGGAACAGCTGGCAATACAAATAGGAAATTGGGCGGTCTGGCCTATAGATAATCTCACAGCGTTTTCTGTTCGACCTTCGAGGGATGAAGCCTACAGAGCCTTCATAGACCACGTCCTTCACAGGATGCAGCCCTTGAATTTGGACACAGCTAATAAGAATAAAGCCAAAGGAGAGGTAGACGTCAGACTCATTATGCGAGCTAAGCCGCTAGAACCCACGCTGAAGTGGCATCAATTAAACTGCGGGCTGCGTGTTTAAGCAAGACTAACAATGTATTCGGGTGTGACTGATCTGCGCTCCAACTCATTAATCCTAATAATTTAAATTTTTGTTTCTTTTCTTTTTAAAGAACACCAGGTCTATTTTTGGCTAATGTGCTATTTGAGATTCTGGACACATTCTTTGTCACAAAGTTAGCATTTTATGATGAGTTGTTGCAGTGTAATGTTTCAAAGAGCACATTACAGATCTGCCAAGTTATTTAAAAACATTAGTTCAATAATCCAGGGCCTGGAGGAGCATACTCACCTCCTCAATACCAGATATGTTGTTGACGCCAAGCTTCTTCAGTGAAAATTGAAGTTTTTTGTCATCTGCTGTGGCTGTTCTATGCACCACCTTCTTCTTTCTGCGGGCTGTACCCTGTTCAGGATGACAGGCAGCTTTCACATTAACCAACTCATTTCACAATTATTCTCACAAATGAACATTAAGGCAAAGCGGCACCACAGAGAGGAACTGCTCACCTTCCCACCGATGCGGACTTGCGCCTGCAGTTTGGCGAGTTTTTCTTGGTTCATAATTGTTTCTTTCATCTATAAGAAACGCAAGTGCGAATTAATACTTTCGCAGACGGAAGACAAACGACGTCCACTACGACAGAGTGAAGCACTTCGTAAATGCTGATCCCATTACCAGAATGAGACTGGTTAGGCTGGGGACGCCTCTCTGCCTGGCCACCTGCTGCCAGAAAGGGTTGGACGTCCCCACATGCAATTAACGACATGGGTTTCAACAGACCATTTTAGGCAGTTGTGATCCGCTATTAAGTTAAAAGACACACGGTTCGTTCTGCCAAACAGACACTCCTTCCCAGCACGACCGGCAATCGCCTCGGGATTTAGAGCACTTCCTGAACAACGTAAAAAGCCCGATTTCTTGTTCCTATGTTCAACAAGTAGCACATGTCAACGGGGCTTTATATAAAGTATAAATATATAAATGAATAATACTGTGCACAGAATAACTAGCCGAGGTAGCCGGGGCTCGGGTATCCCCCACCCCCCAATTCTCCCAAACAAAGCAAAATTTCTCCTCTTTTCGGGGTCACCACCGTTCGACGTGTGACGGCATGGTACCGGTCGCGGTCTCATTTACCTTCTCCAGTCCGAAAACCGTGTGCCTGTGCAGGGGAAGAGAGACGGTTACGGTTCCACACTGACCTGCACACTTAGAAAGCGTACACGCGGTGACCAAGATGGAAGACGGAGGAAGGAGCGGAAGTGACGTCCATGCGGAAATGGGGTTTCTGGGGTCACATGGCACGACGGAGGTGACGCCAGAGAGGAGAAATATGTGATACAAGGATTTCGTACATTTTTTTAAATCATACATACACACACACACATAAGCGGAAAAAGTATTACACAGCACATATATGCAGGATATGTTTGTGTGTGTGACAAATAATACTTGAAACATACATCTATGCATATAGCTCTGACTAAGTTTACGTCCAGTGGGCTTTGGCATTGTAATACACACTCTACCGCTAGATGGTGACACTTCCCGTACGTTGTGTTATTTTCTGTCCTAATCCTTCCAAGATGGCGTTGCACATGCTGCAGAGATGTGTCTGTCTTTCCAAATGCTTCTCAAAATCCGCGATGCCCAGATTTACAGGTAGCTGATTAACATATCGTTTGGTTAATTTCCTTCTATGATTTCCCCCCAGTTATTGTCAAACCGCTTGTAGCCTGTGCAGATGTGCGATAACTCTCCTGTAACTGCCTGTGTCCGTGTACCCATGTGTCTGCTGTGTCTGTCATGTCCTTAAGCCGGGCGTGAAACGCTTTGTGACCCTACAGCTGCCTGATCCTCTCTTCCTTCAGTAATCCCAGAATGTTACCTGGCCGTAGTCGGGCAGTCAGTGCTGGAATTGATTACTTTTATAGGCGCAGGGGAAAGGCTTAATTCTTGATTCTCTCTTTTTTATGTTGGCTATTTTAGCCAGGAGAAGTCTCCTTTCTGCGTCATATACAGACCCCAAAATATGGGAGGACAAAGATCCAGATCCTCGCAACTTGGGTAAGTTACATTGACTTTTAATTCGTACAAGATTGTATAAACAGGAGGCATGTCTGACGGTGGTCAAGTTCAGTAAAAGCAGGCAATCTGCATAAAACGTTCAGATTTTTGAAATGCAGCAGATGGCAGAGTTGTCCAGATATTGTAGATCGCAGTTACAGTACAATGATCAAGATAAGCAGTTAGGAGATGCATGGATGGAATTAGAGGACAGTATATACCAAATTAAATCATCACATTAATGCACCCCTCCCTTGATTTACAGAACTATATTTTCCCCTAAAACTAGTTTCACCTCAGAACATGGAAATATTATTTCCATTTTATTTTTTAATTAAAATTTACTGTTTAAGACCAAAAACATAATATAACATTGTTTTAAATTTTCTTCATGTCTTCCTCACAGCTGAGTTAGCGGCTCTAATGGACCGGACATATGAGCGGAAATTGCCTGTCAGCTCCTTAACAATCTCACGGGTAGGGGGGCTTAGTTGCACATTACCTGTTAGCTCTATAACAATGTCAAACCCAACCCACAGCTATTTAACAGTAGTATGTCTGCAAATTGTAGTTGTGTGGTTTGCTCGTTTTTGGTGTAGTTTAAAAAAATACCGAAATGCACAGCTCCCATTTTGGTACCGGCTTAATGAGCAAGGCCTGTTTCTTGCATAGGCACAGATGTTCCTGTGTGCTTTTGGTCGATAGAATTAATTTTTCTTGTTATTGTTCTTCTGCCGTTCATTTAAAGCAAAGGTTCTAGCCAGCAGCATCTCCTTCTGCTTTTTAAAATGTTTTTTTTTTTCTTTTCAAAATTTTGTATACAGTAGCTTTGTGTTGTCAGTCATTTTCTGCAATGGCGTCTGCAAAACTCAAGTTCTCTCGCTATTAAATTCTCTTTGTTTAGATACTTTGTTGCAAACATCTATGATGTGGAACCACTTCTTTCATTATGCACATTCATAAAGACTCAAGTTGTAGCTGATTTTTTTTATCTGGATGATAGTGTTTTTGTGACATATTCCAGTGGCCTGGTTTTACTTAAACTGGTTAGCTTAGATGCTTTGTTCAAGGATCAGTCAGCTAAGCTCCGTTGAACCTTAAGGTCCATGTCCTTAATCACCATGATAATTTAGCCTCAAGTACTGAACAGCTCTTAAACTGTGTTTGTAGAGCAGTGGTTGGATTTGGCTGAAAAACGCATCTCTTAATCACTCTTATTTTCTCCTTTAGTTTGTTGACAACATAACTTCAATGGAAGAAATTGAACAGACAGTATATTATCTGTACAAGTAAGTCTAAAGTTCCTTACTCACAGTTTGCAGGTTTCATTTTTTTTTGTTTTACACTATAGGGACAAAGTATTGGGACAGCAGGGCATTACATACATGAACTTTTGACATCCCATTCTAAATCCATAGGCATCAGTATGGAGGTGGTCCCCCCTGTGCAGCTATAACAGCTGCCACTATTCTTGGAGTGTGTCTATGGGAATTTTTGCCCATAAATCCAGAGGAACATTTGTGAAGTCAGGCACTGATCTTGGACATGAAGGCCTGGCTCTCAGTCTCTGTGCTAGTTCATCCCTAAGGTGCTCGATGGGGTGAAGTCAGGGTTCTGTGCAGGCCAGTCAAGTTCTTCCACACCACACTCACCCAACCATGTCTATATGGACCTTGCTTTGTGCACTGGGGCACAGTCATGCTGGAACAGCAAATGGCCTTCCCCATAATTTCCAGGGGGGTTAGGGGGGTCATGACCCCCCCAATAATCAGATCCAGCCAATATAACCCCCCCAATAATCATGTTTCCCCTCTAATGGGTGGAGACCTCGACCCCCCCAATGTTTCAGCCAAAGTTACGCCCTTGGCCTTCCCCAAATTGTTTCCACAAAGATGGAAGCATAGAATTGTCCAAAATGTCTTTGTATGCTGAAGCATTAAGAGTTCTCTTCCCTGGACCTAAACCAACCCCTGATAAACAACCCCACACCATTATCCCTCCTCCATCAAACTTTACAGCTGGCGCAAAGCAGGCAGGCAGGTAATGTTCACCTGGCATCCGCCAAACTCAGACTCATCCGTCAGACTGCCAGACAGAGAAGCGTGATTCGTCACTCCACAGAACACATTTTCACTGCTCCAGAGTCCAGTGGCAGTGTGCTTTACACCACTCCATCTGACAGTTTGCATCGCGCTTGGTGATGTGAGGCTTGTATGCAGCTGCTCGGCCATGGAAGCCCATTCCATGAAGCTCCCGGCGCACAGTTTTTATGCTGGGGTTCATGCCAGAGGAAGTTTGGAACTCTGCAGTTACTGAGTCGTCAGAGCGTTGGCGACTTTTACGCACTGTGTACCTCAGCACTCTGCAATCCCGCTTTGTTATTTTATGTGGTCTGCCACTTCGTAGCTGAGTTTCTGTTATTCCTAAACACTTCCACTTTTCAATAATACCACTTACAGTTGACTGTGGAATATCCTGGAGGGAAGAAATTTCATGTGCACCACGCTTGAATTCACTGAGTTCTTCAGAACGACTCATTCTTTCACAAATGTTTATAAGTGTGGCCTCGTCGCTGGGTGCTTGATTTTATACACCTGGTGCAATAGCTCTGAATGAAATACCTGAATTTAGTGATTAATAGATGCTTCCCAATTCTTTTTGGCCATATAGTGTATGTGTGCCTTCGTAATTTTTTCAATATTTACTGCAAGCATCAGGGAATGTTTTGAAAAGAAACTAATGACCTCAGACACATTTCAGTGATGCTTTTCCTGACCAAACGTGCTTATTTCTCACGTGGATCAGAACTTAAACTCTTCAGTGCTTGCTTCATATTTGTGTTGTTTTTCTAGAGAGTGCTTTGGTCTCTCTGTTTGCTGCAGTTCTATGAACACAAGAGGCATTGAAATACCAGCTTCAACTTAGCATTAAGGAACAAAATGTTAAACACCTTTGGATGCTACAGCGGAAAGGGTCCTGAAATGTGATATTGTAATACGCAATGTTATAATGTCAGTGTCTTCTTTCTAACCAGGTTCCGTCACAGTCCAAACTGCTGGTACCTTAGAGACTGGACCATCCACAGTTGGATTAGACAATGTCTCAAATATGGAGCCAGGGATAAGGCCTTGTATACCCTAAAAAATAAGGTATGGGGTCTCTCCGGATGTCTTGGGTGCAAACCATACACAGACTGAGAGACATGCTTCCGCTGAGAGACATGCTTCGTGACTCATTTCCCGGCGTGTACAAGTTATCTTAGGTCGGCATTCATGGTTTGACTTCTGACATTCAGGTCGAGTTCTAGGTAATTTTTTTTCGAACTGGTTGGTTTGACTTTTAAGGAATTTTAGTTATAACGAGTTTGAGAACTGAGGTACCACTGTAATTGAATAAAATCATGCCTTTCACACGCTTATTTGTGATGAATCACAAAGCTGAATCGTAATGCTGTCCACTAGAGGTTGGTGATTTCAGCTGACGTTGATTACTTAGGACCTTTTCTTCTTGTTTTTCATGTCTCTGTACATGAGGCAATTGATGCTTATTTGGTACCTCCCATAGATTCCTGACCCCAGTGTTCATGTTTTACCAGGTGCAGTTTGGGATTTTTCCTGATGAATTCACATTCAACCTCCTGTTAGATTCATTCTTGAAGGACAAAGACTTCGGAGGTAGCCCTTTGTTCTGCTCTGTCTGTCTGCTGAACAGAGGATGTTGCTCTGACTTCGTTAGTCTTTCTGTGGCTCCTGCCTGAATTTCCTGCCATACCTCTTATGTTTGTTATATCGTAATAAATTTTTGCCAATGAGATTTATTAAAAATGTATTATTTTGGGATTATTAACAATGTGCCTTAAAGGGACAGTGGTGGAGGTTGCAAACTGATTATATCTATTTGATTTTAGTGCCTTTTCCTTCTGTGTCCTGCAGGCGCCTGCTCTGTCGTGGAGGAGATGATGCGACAGGAAGCCTTCGACTCGCCGTCCACTCAGATCCTTTCACTGTACGCTCTGGCCAATTATTTATCGACAAATCCTGAACTCACAGTAAGCATCCTTTTTCTGTTACCTCATAAATACATTAGCGAACAGTGTGCCAGTAATCCTTTTAAGGCGGGTGTATCGTTTTATCATCACTGCGGGAGTGAGTCGTTCATTGGGTTAGCGATGTGTGCCCATGTCCATAAGATGCCATTGTAATCGTATCACCCTT